GTTGGTATGCATGTGGACTATGATCCAACTTAGAACTGGTTAGTTTTTGGAGGGTTAAGATCACAGCAAGGTCATTAAAATGAAAAAAAAATCTCTATCTGTTAACATGGAACCGATTTTTCATACAATTTTTCTCTATAACTCGGTCAGAAATGATCGGATATTGATGAAACTTGGTGGACATATGTAGAATATTATTCCTCATAGTCCTGCCAGAAATGATCGGATTTTGATGAAACTTGGTGGACATATGTAGAATATTATTCCTCATAGTCCTGTCAGAAATGATCGGATTTTGATGAAACTTGGTGGACATATGTAGAATATTATTCCTCATAGTCCTGCCAGAAATGATCGGATTTTGATGAAACTTGGTGGACATATGTAGAATATTATTCCTCATAGTCCTGCCAGAAATGATCGGATTTTGATGAAACTTGGTGGACATATGTAGAATATTATTCCTCATAGTCCTGCCAGAAATGGTCCGTGTCCGTTGATCGCATAGACATACGGACTCATCATTGTATTTCTTGAGGGCCGATTATAATCAATGCTGCGTGTTGGAGGTATGCGATCTACAGAGTGCCTCTCTCGTTTAATATTCATTTCCAATTATACTTTCCATACCATCCCACTGTTGTTGTTATTCCAATTCAACTCTTAATTTATTCTTCTGTCAACTTGGTGTTTTGAAAATGTCAGGGACGGATATAAATGGAGGGGTTCATCATTTGCTCGTGACCCCCCTCCCCTACATTATACTTTGTGTGACTATTAATAGTATCACGCTATTGCCTACCATTGTTTAGCACTGCAGCGTATGTCCCATTAACTTGCGTGACCTAACAACACTAAACTAAGTTACACTATCTCTACCTTTCTTTTTGTTTTTTGTAGTGAAAACAAGCTTGTTATTAACTAGTCTAAAACAATAAGCATTGGGAGCTTTCTTAATGAACGAGAGTATATATCAGTTTGTATTTAATTCAGGCAAAGTTAGAGCTTTGGACATGTGCAATATAATGATTTTGTAATTTTCGGTTAAGACTCTTAACACACACACACACACGTCCTCTATAATATATATATAATTTCAACAATTGTTCTAGATATGGAAAGCACGCACTTTCTAATAAAAATCTATAAATTTCCAGACAAATAAAAAGTTTCAACAATACATTAGTCTACGTCCGTATTGCACGCAACAAATAACTGTATGCGAATTTTAAACAATAAACGAGACTTAACAGCAGAGGGTATTATTTCTTCGGGCAATTTTTATAAGCACACTGGTATGCAAAGCAGTTACAACTGGAATATATATATATAAGTGAATCGGTTCAGAATTTAATTACTAATAGAGATGAAAGCATCGCCTCAGAGTATACAAAGGAAAAGATAAGTTTTAAAATATGATAGAATTTACCTGGACACATACAAGCAGTGACGTAACTACAAGAGATGGACCCTCCCGCATAAAAAATAATTGGTCCCCATACATTTATTACTCTTGTCGGCTATTCTTAAGTTTGTCAGGCCTTTTGCCTCGAGCCTCCCGCAATTGGGGAGGGGGGGACATTCCTACGCTACTGCATACAAGTGTATGGCTATAAAACATACACATATTACCCTAAATAGTGATCAGAAATACGTACCTTAGAATAAACATTCTGGCCATCATTTTTCCAAATTTAATTTGTGGAAGATCCCCAAACCCCCCAAGCAAGTGGGGGACACCTCCTCCCGCCCGAATCCTGTTCCCGTCTCGGCACTTTGTAGCACTTACGGCTTTACTTCCTTCAGAAATTCTTGGATCTATCCCTGAATGTTACTCACTATATTAAACTATTACAGCGGTTTTTATTAATTTACCATTAACTACTGGTTTAACACCACGATGTACATGGCATGATGAAACTGTGTTTACAGTTTTTTTAACTTTCTCTATTCTTATCCAAATTACAAGCATAAAACTTACAATGTCTTAGAAATTCTTGCATACATATATAATAGTACAATTTTGGAACAATGGATTTCTTGTCTGTCAGGGTTGCATTTAGCTGAACCAATTTTTTTTCACGGTCACCTCAACGGACCTTTATCCAAGGTACGGTTATTCGATCGGTTAAAATTAGAAATTCTTGAAGGTTCAAATATTGAAAAGGTTTACAAGGAAGTTTTCCAATACGACTTCGATAGTCATTATTTTTAGACCGTGGCTTGAAATAACAGAACTCTGTACATTTTCTCGAATTTCGATGTGCTCTAATAATGCAATGTCTAAAATCTAAGATTTGAAAGGAAATTTGTTAACTAAAGACTAAATATTTCGAAATTAATTTAAGAAAGCTGATCTTCACTATTGTTTCTCGTATTGCAATAAATTATTGAGCGTATTATTATTATTAACATAGGTAGTAAGATGCGTTAAAGGCGAAGCATACAATTCAGTCTCAGCTCATAAACACTGTAATATTAACACTCAGTTTACGAACTAATAGAATCTTTTGAATCAAGATACACGTGGGATTATTTAAGTTTAGTTTATTGTGGTTTATTTTTTAAAAAAGGGCAAGAAAATCAAATATCTATCATACGTTAGCTTGTCTATTTTTACAACTATAAGTCTAAGTTAATAGTAACGTGATGTGAATGGCTCTCATTCTAATAAGATTTACAGAATTTGCCGGGATTTAGAAATCAGGAAATTGCTTGTGGTATTAGAAGGTAGTCAAAAACACCACGTAGTAATTTCATCCAGGATACAATTGATCGAGAGAACCAAGGAAATAAAAAAAGCTAATCTCTACTCGGATCTCTCAACCTCCATAAAAACAAGATTAAAAATACCTATAATATTTTTCGTTTTGAAGACGCAGCGACGTAACCTTCCATTACAAATGGCAAAATGCTTTACAGCTCTAGATATTCTCAGGCAAACCATTCGTTTTTATCGTCAAATTCCTGTAAAAACCTCATTTTTAAAAGAAGTGTACAATTCTGCCTTATACTGAGCAATACCTAAAACTTGATTCTAAGCAAAACCTGTGGAATAAAACCTATTCATTGTCCACTTATTGAAAACTTGTCACTCACATGATAAGCCTTAAAGAACATGTACAAAGATTAATTTAGCCATCTGTCTAACTAAGTGATGTAAGTGAGCTATATTTTTTAGTCGTTTAGTAGAAATGAGTAAGTTGTTACAGAAAGACATTGTTAATCCAAATTACTAAGTCTTTACTAAACAATTTGTAATCAAACGATTTAACTACAACACAAAATGCTTCAGTCGCAAATTTAAGGTTTATCTATTTTCAACACATTGTAAGCATAACATTTTTTTAGTTCTGTGGATTCCCACTTGAGCAAATATAACTTACTGAAAACTAAGTTTAGCTGACTGATTGTCACTAAACTGTAGTTTCAGATGCTTGGTGATAAATTTCCTTGGCTCAAGTTACATCTAAGAACTGTACGTTGTATTTGCTGTTCAAATGCTTATAGATGGGTTACTGAATTACTACACTTACCACCAGGTGTTCCTTAATGTCTATGATGTGCCTCCAAATCCTATCCCTCGTTTATGTCCCTGTTCTTCCTAATCTTAAAAGACAATGAAACGAAAATAAACTCATCTATAAACTTGGCCAAGCTACCCAAAGGGGAGTGAAGGATAGATAGTCAAACTCTTCACACTAAATAACAAAGGTTAGTGTAACTTTTTTCTTTCAATTTATACCACGAAATAATTAAAGAAGTGTTTGGCTATAAGGCCCTTTCTTCTTATATTCTGTGGATTAAAACGCCTAACTCTATTAAGACATTGAAGCATAATGTAACTCTAAAATTATCTTCTTTCTGGATCACGCATCCTATTTTCGTATTACAAAAAAAATAATAACGCAGTAAGTAAGTAAACATATTTCTTTAAAAATTCATAAAAAATACAAAGGAGTTGATAGTAGAACCACGGACCAAAATATTTTAATATCAACAAAATATGTTGTTGTTTTTTGTCGCAGAAAAAAAGAAAAAAAGAAACAACCAATTTATAGAATTTAAAAAGTCCCGTGGTCCATGAGATATATAAAGGCCTTTCTCTTTAGTAAAATAAACATTTTACCAGATTTCCAAAAATAGTGTTATATTAACTTTCAAAACCTTATGTTACTAAGCACGAATAAAATTAGTTTACGCTTTGAAAATCAGAAACCACACTTGTGAGCTTCTTGGAAATTCTCTTTTTACACTTCACTTATTTATTTTTTTCATGAAGTGTGCTATAAACTTGTCATTAAGAACCGTGACCAGCGAAACAGATGTTACGTTATCTTTATTCCAAGCCGATACATTTCTTATTTATTCTAAGTTTAGTATAAAAGGAAAACAAATATCTGCACTTAAAACGACAGCGCTGAAATAATGAAATGTAGTCTTAAGGTCTCCTCGATGTTCGTTTATACCTAGTATTGTAAAGTCATAATTTTTACACATTAAATTTATTCCTTCATCTTCAAACACATACCAATAAGTAAAACACTTCATATCAACTATATATAGCGTTTATTTTCAGACATTGGAAAAAGTTTTTTTTTTTTTTTTATCTATAGAAGCAAGTTAACATAGTAGTCCATGTGATTATATTAGGCAATACAGGTTTGTTTTCAAAAGCGAATCACCAAGGCGCTGTATTCTGGAATAACTGAGGAGTTTAAATATACCTTAACGTTGATATAGAAGGCTTAACGTAGGTATTATCATAACGATAATATGAAACGCTTAACACGGGTATTATTATTATAACGTTAATTTGAAAGGCTTAACGCAGGTATTAGTGTGTTTCTTAACGTGTATTATCAAAACAATCACCAAATCCTGGTCTGCGCAAACAATAAAAATAAAGGCTTATATATTACTTAAATTTAAAAACAATTAACTTCAACATGTGCAAAACAGTTAGATAAAATGACAAGAAAATCATATCATAGTCAAATGTTAAAATGAAAGTGAGAATTATGAAGCTTTTCATCACTTTCATTGTAAATTCTCCTCACTAGTAAAAATGAAGAGAAGCTTTCGTTAACTTTGCTAATAGCATAGTAATTATTAAGTTTGAACCACATTTTTATTGTTCTAAGCCGCATCGCGCGTGAGCTAATTAGTTAAATTTCGCAGATTCAAAATAAAAAATTACCAGTAGCTAGATGTATTTTGCTTCTTCAGAATAGATTTGTGTCTACTATGACTGTCCAGAATTTTTACGTTTTCCAACGTATTCCAGTATGAAAAAAAAAGGGTTATGTTAAGCCTTTCTTTAACAGACAACCCTATCCGCTTAAATGTAAATAGATCACATTCCATATCAATTCTATTAGTTTCTCGGTAGTTTATAGAATAATAAATACGAATCCTACTTTAGGCTGCTTAGCTGTTTTTAAGTGCAAAGCTACACATTGGGCTATCTGTGTTATACCCACCACGGGTATCGAAACCTGAATTTTGTCATCACTTACCGCTGATCCACTGGGGGAGCATGAATACTACAAGTTTATTTTTAATATCCTCGATCCTTTCTGATATTAAGATCATCTGGCGATTATTAAGTACATCTTATAAAATAACTCCTCTCAGTAGTGAAATACGTAGTTTAAATAACAATCCTAATATTTCACATTATGAAAATTATCATCTTTATCATGCAACTGAAAACTTAAATCTCCCCAAATTTTTGTCTCCTTAAATAAACTTGATCAATGACAGAGAAAATTAATGGATTTAATTAAATATGACTGCACAGTTTAGTGAAGTTGTTGGTAACTTCAAATAATTTATTCATAGTCCGGGTTAGTTAAAATTCTTCTAAATGGATTTCATTTATAAGGAGCCCTGGAATTCGAAATGATGAAATATGAACACATTATGTACGCATAAACTCTAATGAGAACATTGTTTGAATATTTCTAATTAAAGTATTACTTGCTGATCAACTGCTTCAAATAATGTAACAATAATAAATATATGTGTATTAACAACAAGCTGAACTTCTAGGCATTTTATTATACCTAATTACAGACTATTGAACGCTAAAGAACTGTTGAATAGCTGATGCTAAAAAGTACTCTTAGTGTATTCCTCCAAATTCAAATAACATACCAAGTCCTAAAATACACCAAAAGGGAAAGGCACCAAAAAAAAAGTCTAGGTATTTCTAATTTCGAAAAAAAATCCTTTCTCGAAATTAACTGTGTTGGTCTCGGTTCCCTTTCTGGCTAGTGCGCATGTGATTGTTATAAGCCTGACTGATCTGTTTTCTAATGTTGGTCTCTAGGGTCATCACATAAATTAGTTCGTGAAAGTAGCATTGTTTTATCCCCGCTAAAATGTGAAAAAGGGTTTTGTTTTGTTTTACTCTAGATATGATTAAACCCTTCGACTCTGTTAAGGGAAAAAAATAATTAATATGTTTTAAGGTTAAAGGTAAAGATTTTGTTTTCGAATTTTCTTGTTCTACTTTTTCTTTTCTTTCTTTTTTCATATCTAAATTGTCTAGTGGAAAAAAAACACCAAACGGAACTGCAATTTTAACAAGTTGATCAGTTAAAATATCACTGATAAATATTTGATTTTATGGTCAGGAAATAAATAAATAAAAACTTTCCTTGTAGAATATTTTTATTACTTTATTGTATTTTTTAAAAATCAGACTGACAGATAACTTTCTTCCCCTCGAGGTGGATTCCTGTACGTGGAGAGGAGACCTCCCAGAGAAGGTTCTGTATTTTCAGTTTACCTCCTCTGGGATTTGAACATCCACACACGTGTTTGCCGTGCGTGGCGACCCGTGAAGGGGAGGAGAGGGTCCTGGTGGTTGAGTGATGTCTGTGGCACTGCGACACACCACTTTGGTCTTAAATTCCTGTAGACGGGTGGCCTTGGAGTGGCCCACCCGGGTCAATCGATTGGTCCTTTTGGGCTATGGTCAACTGAGTACCAGTGTTGGGCGTTCTCAACGGGTGTTGTGGACATTGTATCTGATGCTGGTGTTTGGTATAGTGCTCACGAAGCCCTGGCATTGCTGCAGTGTCCTTGTTTGGCATTGTAGTGCGTCCCCTCGTACGACTCCATGGTGGGTGGGGTCATTGAGCATTGAAACATTCTCCTTTTATTATGGATCCTCCAAATCCCCCCAAAAAATAAAATAGTAAAAATTCAGCTCCTTGTTAAACGACCATGCTTTGAAGACTCTGATCTTCAATCTTCAACTCATCTTGCTTCTGTACCTCGTTTTTTGATTTTGCATTCCTTGTCAGAAAAATCTTTAGGACAAATGTCTCCCCTTTTTTAATTCAGAAAAGGTTAAAGGGGTTTGCTGGCTCTCCAAAGTCAGTCAAGAAGCTTCGTTCTGGGGAAATCTTGGTGGAAACATCTATACCGAAACACGCCGAACTCCTCCTGAATTCTAAGGCCATGGGGGATATACCCATTGAGGTTACTCCCCGTGCTAATTTGAATACATCATGAAGAGTTATTGTTGAGAGGAGTTTGAAAAGCATCCCTTAGTCGGAGATACT